AACATGTAAAAAGGGAGTAAGATAAGAACGGTAAGTACAAAATCACCAAGTAGCCTCTTTCTGAAATGAACAACAATTCAGTCAAATAATTCACAAGCTCGGAAATCAAATAAATCAATAAAATCATCAAATGGTACGGCATCACTCTTTGTGCTTTCCATCTCATCCTCACCATGTAGTATAATAAATGCAGGGGAACGACATCACCCTTCGTGCCTTTACTCTCATCCTCACATGAGATAATAAATGATAATAAATAAATCAAGTGCATGGTATTACCCTTCGTGCTTTAATCCTCACATTCGCTCATTCAATGATAACAATATACAAATATGGCACGGCAACACCTGTCATGCTTTTCACTCTTCTTCACCAAGCAACAACAATAATCCAAAGTATCAAGAAAGTTGGAAAACCACTTATTTCAACTTCAATCGTGGTGTCATGATATGCAAACTCAACTTCCGATATCCCAACAACTTCAAATTATTCAATAAACACGAAGTGAACCACCAAATAATAATAATCTAACTAAGGCATAGAAAGCATAGTAAAATAAGCAACATAGTACAATATATCAATTTCTACTTGTATGCTTTAACCCATGACAACACATATATAATCGTCATCTTGCATATACGCCGTATCCACACATAATTTACATAGCAAATAGAACAACAAGCCCTAATTTCCTCAAATCAAAGTTAAACACGATACTTACCTCACTCCGCAACCAACTCAATCAATCAACCATGACTTTGCCTTTCAAACAAGCCTCTAAACCAACTGAATCAATGAATTTGGGAAGAAAAAGTACTTCAAAAATCATCTTTAAAGTGTTTGGGGTTGAGAAATAGTGTAAAATAAGCTAAGTACTGTTTTTTCCTTTTTTTACCCAGTTGCAAGTCTCGCATTTGCAAACACTTGTTCGTAAATGTGATGCCTGAAACTGCGACACACTGACCGCAAATGCGATCAGTGTTTAGATGCACAAAAGTGGAAAATGCGACAAAAATCTCTCAAATGCGATACACCCCTCAACGCAAATGCGATCTAAGCTCGCCCCCAGCTCCAAGTCGCAAAAGCGACTCAAAGGTCGCAAACGCGAACTCCCATAGTCCGCAAATACGGTCAAATATTCGCAAAAGCGAAGTACCAATCCATCGGCCCCTTATCGCAAATGCGATCATTGGACTGCAAAACCGAGCTCGTAAATACAAGATCTACATATTGACACCAGAACCAGCATTGCACCAGCTATCCGAAAACCAACCAAACTCCTCTGATACACACCTGAAACTCACTCGAGCCCCTCGAGCTCCAAATTGAACATACACGCAAGTGTATAACATTATACAAACTTTCTTGCTACCTCAAATCATCAAAATAATATCAAATAACAAGAATCGATCATCAAAACTCAAACAATTTCAACTTAAACTCAATTTTCACTATTTTACACATAATGCGCTAAAACGTGTGCGGGTCACCCCCAGACCCCAACCATACGTGTGTACAAGTCCAAAAATATCATACGAACCTACCAGAATCGTCAAAATACCGATTCAATGTCAATTAACAAGAATATTGACCGTGGTTAACTCAAGTCCCATTTTAAGCCTAAAATCATTTTTTCTTCAATTGTTTACAAACCTTTCTGGAAAATGACACAGACCATGCACACAAATCAAAAAATCTCAAATGGAGATAATAGAGGTCTCAAAATATGAAAATAAATGCTAGTACTCAAAATAACCTATCGGGTCGTCACAGCTAGTTGATCACATTATGCAATAGAATGTTTGGGTAGTTTCAGTTCATAAATATAAATTTGCATTTCATTCATAACATAATATGAAAAAGCAACTGAACATAAATTTGCACAAAAAATAGGTCATTTCCATTTCATTCATTACAAGATAGTGTATATTAACAAAAGGCCAAATTTATACTACCCACATACAAATACTACATTGTTCTTCAACTAAATAGACATCAAACATGAGCAGCAACTCCAACAACATTACAAAAACTTCCCTAAATCATTATATCCAAAAAATATCAACTAACCACAAGCATCAACAAAGCCAATTCCATAAAAACAATACCACAATAACAACAAATAACCAATTTATTGTGCTCAACTATTTTCTCAGTTCTATCGACCCTCTTCAATAGATCCCATATAACCCTCTTAGCTTGGTCGGGCATTTCATCATCGTACCATTTGAAGTATTTGCATCCACCTCGACCCTACAAAATTGAGAAAGAACTGTGGAAAAAATGAAAAACAGATTCTTTTTTTTCTTAAAGAAATTCAAATGTTTGAGAAAAGCAGTACGATCAACTCACCAATTTACTATCATAAAATCGATGACCTGGGTTTGCAGGTGACCATGATATAGTTAGTGGCACATTAAATCCATAGTGACAAATATCTATTCCATTGCGAGAAGTTGTTGATTTTTGCGACATAGCACTCAAAAACGAGAAAGATGAGGAAGAAATCAGATAAAGATTCAAGCTTCGACCCCTAAGCTTCAATTGAAGAACAAATATGGTGATTTTGAAGGGAAAGAGGAAGAGAGGGGAATTAGGGCTTTTTTGAGAGAAATTATGGCCAAATCGGGCGTTTTAAAGTGGGTCTAATAGGTGGATTAATTTTTTATTGTTGGAATATACACTTAAGCAAAGAATAATAACACTCACGCACTTACCATAAGTGAAACTAACGCTCCTTTGACCGGTCATACGTTGTGTTTAATAGGTATAACAAAATATAGTCGAAGTGTCAAAATAAAAATTGGAGCCAAGTTTAAGGAGCTGTATAGATATATATTTTCCATTTCCTTTTTAGTTCGATAGAAAATAGAATGGCCACCTTTTAAATATGAAAATAATTTTAACTTCAACTTTCCATTTACCCATAATGAAAAGCTTTTATAGCCATACAATATTTTTTCTTCTGAAATTGAGTACTCAGTCGAATAATTTCACATGAATTTAAGCAAAAGGAGTGTTAGGAAGGAAAAATTTGGCAAATTGTAATTTTTTCACATTAATTAAGTTAAAGAGTTATTATACAAAAAATAAAATAACAAAGGAAAACTTCATATATCACATAAAAATTAGTATTATAAAGAGAAACCTAAGATAGTTTCTGAAATTATCACTTTATAATGTGTTGATTTGAGATGGTATTGTGTTTTGATGATTAACAAACTGTGATAAGAATCAGGTTTCAGGCTCTAGTCTTGCGTATACAAGACTGCTGTGAAGATGTGACAAAATAAGAATGTTGAACGTCAAAAAAACCAGGTTTACAGCAGGCTAGCTAACGTTAGCAACTCAGACACGGAAGACTAGCTTTCCCATGCAAGTAAGGATTTCTAGAAGATCATGTCCGTGTCTAAAAAGGAATATGCATTTGGAGGATTTTGTGCAATAAAAAGAATGTGTGTATGTGGAAAATACTTGTGGGAAGCAAGAAGAATGCAAGTTGGAGTCAAATAAAGAAACCTAGTCTAAATGGGAAAGGATTTCCTTAACCAAAATATTTTAGGTTTTGGAGCATTAATTGAAGAAGAATTTCGGCCAACCTTGCATCTATAAAAGAAGATATTTTGCCACAATTCAAGACTACTGCTATTGAGAGAAATCGTGAGAATACTGCTGACAATACCATAGCAAAGCAACAAGATACTTATGAAGATTCAACTCAATCAACTGAAGAACAGGTTCTTGAAGATGAAGCTTCTCGAGTTCTTTAGTTGTTAGGTTGAGTTTTGTATTTTGAGTTATAACCTATCCGCTTTCATTGAAGTTTTGTTATAGGTTATCATTGAGACTTTGTTGTGTTACACTTTCTAAACTAGAGTTAGTTTAGAAAGGGGTTGCTACAATTGAGTTGATTGTAAGGGTTAAGGTACTAGAGGTAGTTTCTTTGGTTATTGAGTAGTAACCTAAACTTGATCTTTGAAGTTAGTAGAGATTTGGAGAAAATTCTACTGGGTAGGTCGTGGTTTTTACTCTTTTGAGAAATGGGATTTTTCACTTAAAAATCTCTGTATTGATTACTTTTCCGCAATTATTCTTATTTGAGTGTGCTAAACTAATTCAAAGAACTAGGTTCTTTGAAAAAGTGAAAATCAAGCAAGACATAATTGAACCCCCTTCTTGTGTCTAAGTGTAGTCTAAAATAACAATTGATATCAGAACAGGTTCTTTCATAAGAGGCTAACACCTTGAAAAGATCTACAATGGTTGCACCACCGGATTGTCAAGAAAGACGATTAGTCATTAGGCCACCACTTTTTAATGGAAAATACTATGGATGTTGGAAGGAAAGGATGTGTGATTTCATGGAGGGAGAAGACCTAGAACTCTGGGATATCATTGAAAAGGGACCAAAAATCCCAATGTTGTTTGATGACAAGGGTGTCCATACTGGACCAACCCAAGAGAAAAATACTCTAAGGAAAATGTCAAAGGAGTTCAAAAGAATGTCAAAGATAAGAAGATATTAATCTATGGATGAAATAACAGAATATCTGCTTGCAGAGATACAAAAGCTATATGGGATGCCATATAGTATGCTCATGAAGGTACCTCTCAAGTGAAGCAGTCAAAAATAAACATGCTAATTAGGCAATATGAACCGTTCAAGATGAAAGAGGGGGAAACTATCCTGGATATGCATACCAGGCTCACTTCAATTATTAATGAACTAATATCTCTTGGTGAAGTGATTCCCCGCAATAAAATTATGAGGAATATTCTGAGCATACTTCCTTCTTCATGGGACAACAAAGTAAATGCAATTATTAAAGCAAGGAATCTGAATACAATGACTCTTGATGATTTGATTGGAAATCTAGAAATTTGGAAACCTGTGAGCTAAAGCTTAATCAGGATCGCTTGGATCGATAAGATACTGAACCTCGCAAGACCAAGAACCTGATGCTTAAGACAACCCACAAATAAGACGTTGAAGAAGATATATGGCATTGCTGACTCCACGCTTTCAGAGAGCAATAAGGAAAGGTAGTTTCTTGAAGAAGGGTAGCTCATCAAAATCAAAGCTTGTAGAGAAGACCAATAACAATAACAGTGCTGATGGTTGCTACAAGTGTGGAAAGAAAGACCACTTCATCAAGGACTGTCCTCTGTGGGAACTCGAGTGGAAAAAGAAAAATTATGATAAAGGAAAGCAACAAAAGAAAGATCGGGTTCCTGGACAAAGAATGACAAACAAGGCAATGGATAAAATTATGAAAAAGGCAATGGCTTCTATACAATCATCCTCAACTGATGAGTCTGATGATGATGATGGAAGTGAAGATGAGGATCAGTCATTAATGGCCAAGCACAATGACTCAGAATCAGAAGATCTCTTGGCATTGATGGAAAATTCATACTCTGACGCCGATGAGGAAGAAGAACCTGAGTTAAGCTTTCAAGACATCAAAGACAAAATTCAGACCTACTCTAAAAATAAACTGATTTCTCTATCAGACTTCTTAATTGATGCATATCAAAAAAAAATGACGAAAAGGAGCAATTGATGACTGAATATGTATCACTTAAACTTGAAGAAAAAGATCTAGAAATAAGTAGAGAAAGTCTCGAGGTCTTCATAGTGGATCTCAAGGACCAGATTCTTGTGTTAGAAGATGAAAAAGCTGCCTTAGAAACTGAAAATAATAGATTGCTTAATGCACCAAATAAAGGTGAGGAGCCACTAGAAAATGAACTAAAGGAAACAAATGACAAACTTCTAGTTGAATCTAAAAAGGTTAGGATACTTCAAGAAAACCTAGACAAGACCAGGTTTGAATTAGAAAAGAACTTGAACTTGAATTAAAACTCCATACGACCCTCACAGGAAATATGTTGACATTCCTGATAATCGCCTATGCAATCACTATTGAAATTACGGATACTTCACGGAAACATGCCCATCCAAAATCAAAGCAAGTCTAAAAAATATTGCATATCCTGAGAAAAGGAAATCAGTGAAACCTGGTCCTTTACAGAAGGTTAATAAACTATCAGGACGGACTAAAAAGAATATTATTCATCCTTTTAATCAAGGAAAGGGACCCAAGCTAGTCTGGATTCCTAAAACTAATCCATGAATATATTTTTAGGCTAAGGTGAGAGGAGGCAAAAATTGGTGTTATGTTAACAGTTCTTGCTCCCGCCACATGACCGGAAACAGAAATAATTTTCTCTCATTAAGAGACTATCAAAGAGGGAGTGTGGGATTTGAAAATGGAAAAAAAAGAAAGAAACATAATCGACATAGGTAAGGTTGGTAAGTCCAACTTTCATGCTATAGATAATTTGTATTTTGTCAAAGGACTGAAGCACAGTTTGTTGAGTGTGTCTCAGATGTGTGACAAAGGGAACCTAGTTCTTTTTACTTCTAAAAGATGTTTGGTGTCAAATGAAAATTTTGGAAACCTGGTTCTCAAAGAAAAAAGGAATAAAAATATTTACAAAGTTGATGTCATGTCTGCACCAGAAAATGAACATTCATGTCTTAGTGCACTAGATATTGATTCCTACATGTGGCACAAAAGACTAGGTAATGTTAGCTTTTCTATGCTGAACTAGCTAATTATCAAGGACCTGGTCCTTAGGCTTCCCAAGTCGAAATTCAAGAAGATAAAGTTTGTGATACATGTGTAAAGGCAAGCTGGTCAGGTCTACATTCAAATCTAAAAAGGTAGTAAGTACCTCTAGACATTTGGAACTACTTCATATGGACTTATGTAGACCAATGAAGGTACTGAGTAGAAGACGTAAGAGGTAAGTATTTGTAGTTGTTGATGATTTTTCTAGATTTACATGGACTATATTTCTTGCAACTAAAGATGAAACTTTCGATATATTTGTAACTTTTGTGAAGAAACTGCAAAGAAAGATGAATAGTCATGTAGCTAGCATTAAATCTGACCATGGAACTGAGTTTGAAAATTCTAACTTCCTTGAATTCTGCACCGTAAATGGTATTGATCATATTTTTTCTGTTCTTAGAACCCCACAGCAAAATGGTATTGTTGAAATAAAAAATAGAACTCAGATGACATGGCCAAAACCATGCTAATCAGTAGGTCTTCCTAAGACCTTCTGGGCTGAAACTGTAAATACTGCATGTTACATAATAAATAGATACATGATTAGGTCAATAATTTAGAAGAGCCCCTAAGAGTTACTAAAAGGCAAAAATCCAAATTTAACCCACCTAAGAGCCTTGGGAAGCAAGTGTTTTGTACACAACAATGGGAAAAGGCTCTAGGAAAGTTTGATGCTAAGAGTGATGAGGGTGTCTTCTAGGGTTACTCACCACAAAGTAGGGCCAATAAGGTGTATAACAAAAGAACAAAATGTTTTGAAGAAAGCATTCATGTAATCTTTGATGAATTTAATAACCTTTTGGATGATAAAGATACACGGGTTGTTGATGATGGTAAGTTTGGACCAGATGAAAATCATGAGGAGAAAATAAACCATGAAGTACTAGAAGTTGATGCAGGACAGGAACCAGGTCCTTCGGAAACAATTCAATAGGTATCATAGATAGGGGGAACATCACAAAAGAATCAAGGTGAAACCGCAGCACCTGCTACCACTGCTGAACATGAAGAGAACACTGAGAATTAAAGATCGCATGCCAGGGGATGAAAACATCAAAGCTCCCATCCTCTGACAAATGTGCTTACCCCAGTTGACTCCAGAATGGTAACAAGATCAAAATTTATGAATATGATTGTCTTCTCAACATACATATTCATGGTGAAGCCTAGGAACATCAAAGAATCTCTTGGAAATGCAGATTGGATAGTGGCTATGCAAGAAGAACTAAACCAGTTTGAGAGAAATAAAGTTTGGGACTTGGTTCCCAGCCCAAAGGACAAAACAGTTATTGGAATCAGGTGGGTGTTCAGGAACAAGTTAGATGATCAAGTACCAGAAATAAAGTTAGATTGGTTGTACAGGGATATAATCAAGAAGAAGGAATTAACTACGATAAAATATTTGCTCCTGTGGCCAGGATGGAGGCAATTCAATTGCTTATTGCATTTGCATCATACAAGGGTTTCAAGCTATATCAATTGGATATCAAGAGTACCTTCCTGAATGAATACTTGAAGGAAGAAGTGTTTGTTCGACAACCTCCAGGTTTTGAAAGTCATAAGTTTTCAGAGTATGTGTACAAGTTGGAAAAGGTATTGTATGGGTTAAAACAGGCTCCAAGAGCATGGTATGAAAGACTGTCAAAATTTCTCCTAGAGAGCAGTTTCTCACGAGGCAAATTTGATAACACGTCATTCTTGTTAAAGAGTAGTAAGAACCTGCTGATAGTGCAAATATATGTTGATGACATCATCTTCAGATCCACAGGTGAATCACTTTGTAATAATGGATTTGCTGAACTCAAGGGAAGTGAATTTAAATTGAGCATGATGGGAGAATTAAATTTCTTTCATGGACTCCAAGTTAAGTAGACAGAGAAAGGAACTATGATATACCAACATAAGTACATCAAGGAGTTGCTCAAAAGGTTTGATATGGATAATGCTAAAACAATTGATACTCTTATTGTTACTGCAGCCAGATAGGATGTGGATGAATCCAGTTCTCCTATTGTTAAAAAGAAGTACAGAGGTATGATAGGTTCCCTACTCTACTTGACTCCAAGTAGACATGGCATTGTGTACAGTGTGGGGCTGTGTGCAAGGTTCCAATCTAGTCCAAAAGAATCACATTTGAAGGCCGTTAAAAGAATTTTAAGATACCTCAACATGAAACTCCTTCGAATTGATTGGTTATGCAAATGCTGACTATGCTGGATACCTGGTGGACAGGAAAATCACATCATGAACGACGCACTTTCTTGGATCATGTCTAATCTCATGGGCATCCAAGAAATAGATTTCTGTAGCCTTATCAACCATTGAAGCTGACTCCTACCTGTCGAACTCCCTTAAGCATGTGACTAAGATATAAATATGAATAACATCTGCTGAATTACGAGAATAACATGCGTGAGGAAAACCTGTCCAAAAGAGATATATACATATACGTGCGGAATACATAGGGTGAGCCGACAAGGCAGCTATAGATAACTATACATAACTGTCTACAGACCTCTAATAGAAATACAACTGTACAAAGACGGGACTGAGCCACGTCATACCCATATATGTATACAAGCATATCGTACCAAAATCAAAAGCAGCTTTGGATCAAGTGAAGCACGCCTACTCTCGCTGATCAAAGATCCTAAGAAGGGGGACCGTTAGCTTGCCTACCTGCACCTACGGGCATGAAACGCAGGCCCCAGAAAATAGAGTGTCAGTACGAATAATGTACTGAGTATGTAAGGCATGAAAATCAGTACATAAAAGACATAGATGAAACACGGAATAAAGAAATCCACCTGTAAGTCTGAATAACTTTGTAAATTCTGCAATATTTATAGTGTCATGCACGTGCGTATAAATGTCGTGTCATGCATAAGTATAGGTGTACATAACATCATCAAGNGTGAATCAAGAACACAGAGACCCCTAGTATTTCTATAAATAGAGTCGTTTATGAAAACTGTGCGTTTGCTCGTTTCTTATGTATAATTTGGATCATGCCAAAAAGAAAGAAGGGATAGCCTTAACATACCTGGAGTACGGAAAATCCGTATGATATTCTTGGAACAGGTTGCACCGTACTTCTTTAGAACCGCAAAATTTTACGTTGCTATGGTACTAATAATTCTTGTTGGAATTGTTTGGTTCCAAGAAGTTTTAAAAACTTGTAGGAATTAATAACGTTCTGATTGTAGGAATTTTGTACGAAATTTCGTTGCTAACTTTGCAAAAGGGAAGTGTCTTGTTAGAATGATGTGTTTTGGTTACTAACGTTGCTAACTAAAAAAATATTAGAAGGGAGGTGTCTTGTACGTGCCTTAAGGCTATGATATCTCAGTCGTACCCTTCTTTAGAGGAGGAAATAAGTAGGGATATTTAGACTTCGTGTCTTCCTCGGCCTCCCAAGTCATTTCTTCCACATTGTTGTTTCTCCAAAGTACTTTTACTGAAGTTACGTCTTTGGTTCTCAATCTCCGAACCTGTCTGTCTAATATAGCAATGGGAGTTTCTTCATATGATAGTTGCTCTGTGACCTGAACGTCGTCAACTGACACGATTCTGGAAGGATCTCCGATACATTTACGGAGCATAGACATATGAAAGACGGGATGTATAGATTCCAAGTCAGAAGGCAAGTCCAACTTATATGCTACCTGGCCTACCTTGCGTATGACCCTATATGGTCCACTGTACCGAGGGCAAAGTTTTCCTTTTTTGCCGAAACTTATGACACCTTTTATCGGTGATACCTTTAAGAATAACTAGTCATCAATCTGAAACTCCAAGTCTCGCCGTCGATTATCCGCATAAGACTTCTGACAGCTTTGAGATGCTAATAGCCTTTCCTGTATAAGCTTAATTTTCTCGATTGCCTGTTGTACCAATTCTGGTCCTGCTAACGTAATTTCCCC